CTAATCGGCTCCGTTAAGAAGCTGGGTTTATTTGACCGAGTGTGAATAGGTGTGAGCTACAATAAACCCTTGCGAGTTGCGGTGGATAGCTGAACAGACCCATTCACTCTGGACCTAACCTAACCCAACCTATTATTTTTTTCCATCTCATTAATTTTCAAAACTTCTCGATCATCTCGGTTCGCATCCAGTCACTTCCTGCGAGCTCCTTTCATCCATGTCCTGATGAATACATCATTATATATTTTTTATTAGCTCACGCCTTGTTCCTATCTCTCCGATTGACGGCCTGACGTAAAATTCGACGCTACAAGAAGATAGAAAGGATATAAAAGCCATGTAATATTCAGCGAATTTTAATGAAAGCTTTTTATCGCTTCCGCCATAATCTTATCTCGATACACTTCCAATAGGTTCGGCTTGATGGAATTTCTGATTGATATCCGATACAGCGACAATTCTTAGGTAGTTGAAGAAATCATTTGAAGCTCGAGTTCAATTAATATCGGGCTTTTTTTGCTGTCACTCAATCTTCTTGGATGAAGTTGTTACTTCGAGTTTTCTAACTACTCCAACTCGTGTAGGTGGAAGTACGAGATATTATTAGTTAACGAAAGAAAAGTCTGGAACTATATTAGACAGTTCGAGGGGAGAAGTAAGGGGAATGAGAGTAATGAAAAACGAGCAGTGATGTGGAAATCAAGGAATGAATGTTTCAGAATAATGAAATTTCAATTTCCTTGGAGATATCCAAATGAAAAGTACGAAATCATAAAAATTTATATTAAGTCTTACAATTTGTCTACTTTTTTTAGTGAAAAGATATTCAGTTAACTTGTATTCATTCTTGAGCTGATAATTTTCTTCTTCTCTATTTTCTCGTCACTTTTATAAAGTAACACTATACAAAGTGTTTATTAAACATGCGGCAAAAATTAATGAACTATTCCTTGGACTATTCTGAGGATATTTTGTTCTTTGATAAATGCTNTAAACCAGTGTTCCTCTTTGTGGATTTTTTCAGCTTGAGCACACTTGATATTATGTTGATGAATCCCAAACATGCTCTACTATTCCGGATTTGCTGGTTTCTCCTCGCTGTGTGTGTTTCTTGTGCTCAGCAATGCGAACTTTCAATGTTCTCTTAGTTTCACCGATGTATGATTACCGGATACCCTGCGAGTGCGAAGAATTTTGGTTGTTTCTTATACGTTATTTCTTTGTAATTTTCAGTTTTTCCTTCAATGAAATTGTTATCTTCGGTTAATCTTTTTTATTTTTTTTTCACGGATTTCAAATCAATTTATATTATAATAGACAATGGAAGTGCGAACTGATGAAATACACCACGAAACATTGTCAATACCTTCAAACAAACAACATTCCGATTACAAAGGAAGATGTGAAAGATTTGAGAAATCGAATAATGGCTGGGTGTAACACAATCAGAAAAGATCCTAGTGTTTTTGAAAGAGCTTGAGAGTCGATAACGAGAAGATTGTATTCTTGCATCCGAGAGTTGGCGGGTTGACTGTCCTGACCTTTCACTGCCTGACCCACTGTGCATGCTGTTTTTGGCGAGTGCATTGGCTTGGGATGTGGGGGTTGAGCAAACCGGCCATCGGATGCCTGCTTCCACGTAGACCCGCTGGATACGGGAATAACAGAATCATTTGTGGTTCTGATATTCCCTAACTGAATGGCATCCGAACAATGGCTCGATCCTAAGGTGTGTGTATCCGTGCCGGGAGGATGAATGACGCTGAGCCTATCAGCTGTCACTACGGCACCTTCGACATACCGGGCGCCCTCTGGTCGTAGCATCGGTAATGCAGGGCTCTGCCGTGATGGACCGTCTCTCCCTAGTTACTCGTGAAATTTCAAGGACAGAGTGAACTTAAAAATTCTTGCCGACTCCAACTGACCTCCCTGTGAATTTATTTCAGGAGCGAGAGCTTCTCAACTCTCAAACTCCTGATCCAATAACTGAACCTGAAAAAAAATTTTGGTGGTGCAGTCACGAAACGACTGAGTCGTCTCCTCAAGAGCGAGGTACCTTATGAAACCGTCTTGCATCAAATTCTTGAGCGGCGTACGCAGAATCTGTCTCAGGTGGAGGAACAAACCCCCCATGACCAGGTTAGCAAACGTTTGCGCACAAGTGATGATTCACCAAAACCAGAGGCAAAAAAGCCCTGCACGGGCGAATCTAAGGCATCGTCAGGTGTAGCTGACTTGCAAAAACCCTCATATGGGAAGGTTATCGCGGGTATCAAGATGGGAATCTTGCACTTTGACTATTCGACTACCTCATTAACGATGAAACAGCAGAGCATATACTTTGTGCCTGCCCTGCTGGGGACTCTGCACCCTGTATGTAGCAATATGACGCTTGAAGGCACTCTTTATAATTTGAACACCATCACTGAATTGTACACATGCATTATTCTTATGTTGCAGATTTCTATTGTGAGAATTCACTTGAATAAATGGAATCGTCACATTACAACAATTACATGTGTACATAGGTGTTGCATCGTCATCTAATCTCACTCGTTTGTCTGATGGACCTCTTTGGCAACTCTGGAGCTGATGACGACGAAGGTTGTCACTACGAGTAAAAGATTTACCACATTAACAAGAATACATTTTCTATGATATGTTCTCACTAACTCACTCGATGAAAATTGACATAAACAACACTCGCCCGCGCTTAAATAGCACAGTTCTTGCCGCCATGCGTTACGTCATAGCCATCGTCACATCGAGGAAGGTAGGTGCACATCGATGAATACGCATTACTTAACCACACGCCGTAGAGTGCACATCTAGCTCTCCTACCATTGAACGATGGTAGAGCGATGCGTTACGTCACAACCTTCACCGCATCAAGAGAGGTAGACCGATGAATACGCATTACTCAGTCACACGTCGTGGAGTGAACATCTCGCTGTCTTACCGTTGAACGGTTGCTGCTGCTGTGACGTCACACCACTACTAACTTGGTAGGCTCACACCGATGGAACATTCATTACTTGGAGGATCTTCGAAGTATGCAGACGTATGTTTGTACATAGACAAGCACATGATGAAACCCTGTGCCGTGCATTCTTTCTCACACACACACACAATCTCATATGGAAAAAAAAATCTGAACGATCCATGCACCATACACTTCAAGGTCACATCGCCTTGACTTCACTAAACAACAACAAAAAAAAGAAATTAATACGTCATAGTGGTGAGGGGAGACTTAGAACCGGAAAAAAATTCTGAACGATCCATGCACCAGACACTTCAAGGTCACATCGCCTTGATTTCACACTGAACAACAACAGAAAAAAGCAATTAATACGTCATAGTGGTGGGAGGAGGCTTAGAACAGGCTCAAATCTCCTACTAGAGTTCGGCAGAGCCGTACTCTTACCTTCTGACCTGAAAGACCACTCACTATACGAACTAATCGACTTCGTTAAGAAGCTGGGTTTATTTGGTCGAATGTGAATAGGTGTAAGCCACAATAAACCCTTGCGGGTTGCGGTGGAGGGTTGAATAGACCCAGTCACTTTGGGCCTAACCTAACTTAACTTAGAGAGTTTTCCACTCTGTACATTGATGCTTTTCAAGCACTTCGCCAACCAGGATCAGGCCCAAACGGCCTTCGTCGACTTCATCGAATCCCGAGTACGCAATTTTCATACTGACGGAATTAGCTGACTCGTGTTACGTTGATTAAAGTGCACTAATCCAAATGACGCTTATTTCGAACGAATTGAATGAGTATTCACTGAAATATTACAGTTTGAATCTTTCCAACTCATGGTTGCAGGAAGACCAACAGATTTCAGGTTCGTTTATTGGTGGTGGGAGTGTAGACCCATCTTATTTCACAAAACGAAGATTCGTTGATTCCAAAGAATATCGGGTTGACTGAGGTATGGGTAAGCGATTCATCATGACTTGCTATTTTTGCTATTTTCTATGAGGTTTCAATGTCACTTTCTCTTCCAAGGCTTTGAACTAAATGTAAAGAAAGTTTTTTTTCAAAACTTTGCCACCTCTCGTTTCGTGCGCGTCACCTATACTGTCGATGTTATATGCACCGCCACGATTCCGCCCTAGCGTCGCCTCGCCATCACTCGGCCGTCGCCATTTTCGTGCCCGCAGCCCATCGCTTCACTCATTCGTATAATTCAATAAGCTGTATCATTTATTTTTAGCAAGAGATGTTTATTTGTCACAGATGTATTATTCACTCTCACTGAGTTTTTCAATCTTACCTCTAATTTTCTTTCCCAGTCTCAGCGTTCTTTATATATTATGTATCACATGTCCTGCAATTTCTACAGAAATGTTGAAATGATTTACAAACGACTGGAGGCGGGTCCTTTGAAAATATCTGTGGAGGAAACTGAATAAAACACACTCAAATATTCATTGTTTTTCTCGTCTACCCTATGATTACGATTTCTCTTTGAATCTGAAATAATAGATTTAATCCCGAAACTTGACCTTCAGTAAACATTAATTAGGTGTCATCAGCCTGACACACTTCGATTTATAAATCCAATTAGCATTTAATTGAAATCAATATTCAATTAATATGACGTTTTGCTTGAGTCTATTGATCCATCATTATTGAAGATAAAATGGGATGATCCTTTCACAGATTAATTGNCCTCGTCCACTAGATGGAGTGACATTTTTGATGTTCGCTCCAACTTTGGAAGAGGAATGAAATACTCTGAAGGAATTCCGATTTTCAATTGTGGAATATCATTGACTTTAGGTCGATGATGGTCACTATCTTGCACTGATGAGTGGCTAATAAGCCCGAAACCGGTCTGCAAGTGTGCCCGTTCCATAATTGAAGGTCGACTCTTTCAGTTGTATTGCCAATTGCATATGCAGGACATTTTCTGTGAAAATTCCTGCACTGACGCCTGTCGGATATAATCCAACGCCCTTCGTGGTATTAGCCAGGGGAGTAGTTGTTTTCTGATAGGCGTCAGTCCATTAAACCTACTGTGTAGGTATATAGAGACTGGCTTGAACATTTGAAGTTCCATTTGCTTTAGATTTGTTTACTGCCAGTCTTCAAGCATAGCCCATTGACTAATAATAAAGGAGTAATGGATATGGAATCAAAAGCTACTTTCAAAAGCCACTGAAAAAAGTAAAGGGCTCTACCGCCTAGAGGTTTTGCAATGATTTTGGGTCGAAACTCATGAACCTTATGAATCATCTTTACGTGTTTTGTGACATGTTTTTCTTCATAGTTATACCCTGCGCAAAAAGTTTTCGATCGAATATTCCAAAGAATAACAATCCATTTTCATCCATGATTATTCGTTTTGTTATAAAATTTCTCACAATAAAGCTCTACCGCTGTGTTCGTTATTCAAAACATCTAAAGTTGTGGATGCTGAAGAAAACAACCAAGAGTCTATGAAGCGGAAACATTGTTTCAAGCACACTTATTTATTAATTTGATCGGTCGATAAGCCGCTCTCTAAATTTAGCTCATTGTTTATTCGAGGGGCATTATTCATGACTCGATTTTGCGTTCCCGAATGTCCATAGTGCCATTAATGGTTTCGGGGGTTGTTGTTGATTTTGCAAATTAACTGGAGGCCAAAATGTTTATTTCAAGTTCAGCTCATCGAATAGCCAGGACGGATGCGAAGTAATGAATAGTCGAGCAGAATTTGTATAAATACAGTTTATAAAAAATGTTTTAGTACAGCTGTCATTAAAAGTGACATTTTTAATAGTTGTTAAGAGTATTGAAAAATGATGTTTACAAAGTAGCGTGTTGAAAGTATTTTTAACACGATTTTTTCGACCAAACAGCAATAAAAAAAACATAATTATTCAATTTTCAAGGAAGTTTTATTATGTACAATAGATATAGATACAATTAAATTGTGTTACAAATGTATTCTATACATTAATTACATTATTATTATTATTTATGAACATTAATATGAAAAGTACAATTAGAACAACTGCTGACATTAATACCTTGCGATGTTGAAGAGCCTTGTAATATGAATTTCACTAGTTCGGACTTCCATTGTCTACTATATAAAATTATTGGAAATCCCTGAAACAACTAAAAAAGAAGAATTAAAAATGAATAGCTGAAAGTAACAATTATATGAAGCAGAATAAAGCTGAAATATAATAATAGAGAAATAAAATACAAGTAAAATAGAACAATTGAACAAAAATAAATGAAAATATAGAAATGAAAAAAGAAAATAAAAATACAAAAGTTGAGAGATTCCAAGTCACGTTAGTTCACGACGTTTCGATTGTTAGTATCTACAATCGACTTCGGGTGATGACTGGACTGATTCCTCCGAGAGATGACTATTTATAGGTCGTTCGAGTACTTTCACTTATCCCCGCTTTCCATTTTCCGCTTCACTGGTTCCGTGGGAGATGACCGTTTTGGCGGGAGTTGGCCATTTTTCGCTTGATGATGGG